TTTTTCCCAGTCTGTGGCTTCTCTTTTGACCCTGTTGGAGAAGTTTTTGGATGTGCATAGTAGTTGTTGTTCTTGTAATTAGGTGCCATCAAGTCAACTCTGGTAACAATCTACCTACAACAGGATAAAACACTAACCACCCCTGAGCTTCCCTCACAATTTGTGCTGTGCTGAAACCCAGAGTCACAGCCACTGTCACCATGCCTCACTGAGTGCTTCTCTCTTTTTTTCACTGTGCTTCTACTTTGACAAAGATGATGTCTTTCTCCAGGGACTACCCACTTAATGATATGACCAAAGGAGGTGAGATGAAGTATTACTATCTCTACTCTGGCTAGACTTCTTTCAAGACTGTTTTGTTTGCTCTTTTAGAAGCCCATGTTATATTTAGTATTCTTTGCCCAACAACAAATATCAAAGGCATCAATTCTTCCTTCATCTTCCTTATTCATTGTCCAACTTTCACATGTAAGTGAAACAATTGGGAAGACCCAGTCTGGAGTAGTTTGTTGTTACGTACCATGGAGTAGGAACTGACTCCTAGTTAACCCTCCTGCAGGTTTTCAGAGGCAGTAAATTGCATAGGAGGAGATTGCCCATCGTTCTTCCATATGGCTGCTGGTGGATTTGAACCACATGCCTTTGGGTTGACAGTGTAGTTCCTTACCACTCTAGTGGCCAAGTAATAGAAACTATGCTGTAATCCTGAAGGTACATGGTTCAAATCCAGAAATTGCTTTGCAGGAGAAGGATGGGCAGTCTCCTCCCATGTGATGCTGGAAGGTCAACTATGGATTGGTTCCCACTCTATGCCACACAACAACAACAGCAGTCCTGAGTAAGGCACACCTTAGTCCTCAAAGTGATGCCCTTCTTCTCTAGCGCATTAGAAAGATCCTTGGCACCATGTCCAGTGCAATATGCCATTTTAAACTGCTGCTTTTATGTGCATTTATAGTGGCTTCAAGTACAATGAAACACTTGCCATGTCAATCTTTTCCACATTTATAATGATATTATTTGTTGGCATATTTGTGAGAATTTTTTTTCCTTTATGTTATAGTGAAATCTAATCTGAAGTCTATCATCTTTGATCTTCATCAGTAAGTGCTTCAGGTCTTCTTAGTTTTTTTTGCAAAGCACAGTTGTATGACCTACAATTGAAGCTTGTTGACAAATCTTCCTCCAGTCCCATGGCAGTAGTCTTCTTCACATATTCCAGGCTCTGAGATTGTTTTCACACACACACACACACACACACACACACACACATACACACACACACACAGATGTATGGGGAAGAATACCACCCTGACACACACCTTCCTTGATTTTAGGTCACACAGTCAGTGTCCCCTTGTTCTGTCTAAATGACTTACCTGGTGGTAGAGTCTGGAAATTATGACGGCCCTCCCTAAAGTTAACAAAGACCCTGTGTTCTCTCCCCCTTTTTGTTTTAGGCTGATTTTGAGAAGGCTGCGGCAGATGTGAGGAAGCTGAAATCGAGGCCTGATGACGACGAACTCAGAGAACTCTACGGGCTCTACAAACAATCTGTCGTTGGAGACATTGACATTGGTACTGTATCAGCATTTTAAGCACAGTGTGCTATTGAATTTCAACAGCCTTTGTAGAAGCAGCCAGGAAAGAAGTAAACTTGAACCTTCATCTTCTTTCTTTTGGCAGCATGCCCAGCACTGCTCGATTTAAAAGGCAAGGCCAAATGGGAAGCGTGGAACCTTCAAAAAGGTCTTTCATTCTAAAACAAGTTCAAACAAATTGTCTTAGTCTCCCACTACACCAAACAGCAAGGTAATGTTTTTCTCTTTCCAGGGTTGTCGAAGGAAGACGCTATGAGTGCCTATGTTTCTAAAGCAAAAGAGCTGATAGAGAAGTATGGAATCTAGAGTTCAACATCTGAGGAACGTTCCTTGTGGAAACCTTCATGATAAGTAATCTCAGCACTTAGGGGAGACATGCAATGTTATCTCTTCATATATCATATTGATTTTTTTGTGTTATTTAGTATGGATTGTAGTATTTCATTAGGACTATGCTGGAATAACATTTAGATACATTTTACTTGCTTAAATAGGTGATTAAAAAAGTTCTTTGTTTTAAAAAATCGCCGTTCTGGTCGTGTGTATGCAAAAACATTTGTTGTTGTTAAGTGCCATCAAGTTGAGTATGACTCATAGTGACCCTATGAAGAACAGATCTGAATCCTGACTTATCCTGTGTCACCCTCCCACTTCCTGACACATTAGAGCCCATTGTGGCAGTTGCTGTGTCAATCCACCTGGTTAAGGGTCTTTTTCTCCTTTGCCTACCCTCTCTACCTTTCCAAATATCATGTTTTTATCCAAAGAATAGCTCCTCCTAACATGCCCGAAGTATATGAGGCAAAGCCTCATCATTTTAGACTCATTGTACAGCTCTCTGGCTGTATCATATAAACATATTTGTTTGTTCTTTTGGCAGTCCATGGGATGGCTGTTTGGTGCTCTTCTCCAATGCCATAGCTCAAAGGCATCAATTCTTCTGTCATCCTGGTTCATTATTCATGGTCCACCTCTCAGACGCATCGCAAGTGACTGGAAAGACTATGGCCTGAATCAGACACACCTTAGTCCTCAAACTGACATCATGACTCCTCAAGAATTTGGAGAGGTCTGTAACTGCAGATTTTCCCAATGCAATATGTCTTCTGATTTCCTGACTGCTGGTACCAAGGGTGTTAATTGTGGGTCCAAGTAAGATGAAGCTGTTGACAATTTCAATCTCCTCCCCATCCATCATGATGCTGCCTATCAGACTAATAATAAGAATCTTTGTTTTTTTGACAATGAGATACAATCCCTATTGAAGGCTGTATTCTTTGATCTTCTGCAACAAGTGTTTCAAGTCCTCTTCACTTTTTGCAGGACAGGTTGTATCATCTACATAATGCAGGTTATTGATGAGTGTCCCTCTGATCCTGATGCCACATTCCTCTTCAGAGAGTCTATCTTCTCCAGTAATTTGCTCAGCATAAAGACTGAATAAGTATGGAGAGAGAATACAACCCTGACACACTCTGTTCTTAGTTTTAAACCATGCAAAAACATTAGCAATTGTTTATCCTTTTGATTTATCTGGTTATTTGTTTTTAGTTAGTATGACTGAGCTAGTATGACAGGTGTAATATAGACAGTTTATGTGAGTCAGTAGCAAGATTGTTAACCTCTTGTCTCTGTGGGATTCACACTGAAACAAGAAGTTTGGAATCAGATGTTCCAGCTTCCAGTTCTCATTCTGTGCTGCACATACTCAGTGATAGGGGGCAAGTTTCTTAATCATGCTAAGCCACATATGTTGTTGTTGGGTACCGTAGAGTCTGAACTAACCATAGCTGTTAGTCTCTTGGGAGGAGATTGCCCATCTTTCTCCTGTGAAGCCTCTGGTGGCCTGTCTTGAACAGCATGCCTTCGGGATTGCAGCACAGCTTCTTACCACTAGGTCACCAGAGCTCCGGAGAACATGGAAAATGATACTGGTTTCACATGGTGATTGGAAAAGTTGAATGTCATTGTGAGATGCCACTGACTCAAGTAGGACTCATAGTGACTCTATGAACAATAGATCTGAACCTTGTCCTATCCTGTGCCATCCTCAGAATCTCAAACATACATGAATTCACTGCTGCAGTCACTGTGTCAATCCATTTCGTTGGAGGTCTCCCTCTCCTTAATCAAACCTTCCACCTTTCCAAGTATGATGTCTCTTTCCAAGTAATAGTCTCGCCTAACAACATGCCCAAAGTATATGAGGTAAAGTTTCATCATCTTTGCCTCCAAAGAGCTCTCTGACTGCACCTCTCTCAAGCAATATCTGTTGGTTCTTTTGGTAGTCCATGGACACCCTTTTCCAACATCACAGCTCAAAGGCATTGTTTCTTCTTCGGTTGATTGAGATTAATTATCCTATCTCATTTTATAGCAGTAAAGGGTTGAAGCCGAGCAGAGACTTTGAGGATAGGGCAGGATTCAGTCTGTTGTGATAGGGTTGCTATGAATCAGAGTAGACCTGACAGCACCTAACAACAACAATGAATTTTCTTTGAAAAGTAAATACTGTATAAGGCGTAAAAATGAATTAACTGTGAAAATATATTAGCTGAGAATGTTAAAAACTTGTCAGTCTACCCAATAGCCCCTCAAAGATGAGGTGGGGCAGGAAAGCCAGCATGGACAATATCTACCCTTGTTCTGTGATTTTTACATTGAAGACAAAATTTTAAAAATGGAACTAAAATATAGTACCCTGTGATGTTGGAGGGAGCTCTGGTGGCACACTTTGTAGCAAGTAGCACTGCCAACATGAAGGCCTGTTTCAAATCACCAAGTGGCTCCCAGGTAGAAAGATGAGCACTCTCCTCCCGTTTTGATTTCCAGACTTGGAAGCCTGGTGGAAGGACTGCTGCAGACTGTAGTAGACTTGAAGGCAGTGAAGGATTTGAGCTTGATATCAGAATGAAAATGCAGTCTGGAAGCATATCAGTCTAACACTCAATCTTGTTAGTAGACAAGCTCGGAAAGAAGAGAGTCTCATTTTAAATTTTATTATTACTTTTTGTATGTATATCGTCAAATCGGATCTGACTGGTACAGGAGGAGATTGCCACTCCTTCTCCAGCAGAGCGTCTGCTGGATTTGAACCGCATACCTGTGGGATTGCAGGGCAGCTTCTTGCCACTAGGCCACCAGAGCTCCCTGACAGCCTCATTTTAATAGTGGCTGGACTATGGAGCATGGGTACTGTGTGGATAGTGTCGGGCAGGGCAGGGTCAGATCTGATTACAGGATTCTGATGAGTCATACTTACTCTGCTCAGTGGCATGGAACAACAAGAGCTATAGAGCTATTTGAGATTTCATAGCATATATATTCCCCAGTGGACTAAGGTAAAAAAGAAAGAAAAGAAACAGTGTATCTCTGTTCTTTGCCTACAGGTTTAAATATGAAATGGTATGACTAGAGGGGGGAAAGTCAATTCATGTGACTGAAACATCAACAACAGAAACTAGTTTATTTCAACCTAGAAAATTTTGGAAAGTATGGAAGCGCTGTCTCACATATTTTGGGCACGTGGCCAGGAAGGACCCATCCTTGGAGAAGGACATCGTGTTTGGAAAGGTGGAGGGACACTGCAGGAGAGAAGGCCCCTGGGTGAGATGGATTGATACAGTAACTGGGGCAATAGGGGTTGGTGTGTCAGAATCAGTGAGACTGGCTCAGGACAGGGTAGGCTTCAGAGCTGCTGTGCATAGGGTCGCTGTGGATCACAGGTGACTCAATGGCATATAACAACAACAACAAAGGATGGTTCATGTCTTCATGAAATTTTGCCTAAAAGCATTCAGAATCCAAATTGCTTTGTACCAGTCCTTCAAGAAAGGATTCCTAAGAATGTTATCAATAACAATCAGGCAAAACACATATTAAGTTTTTGTCATCATTTACTTTGTTGTTGTTGATTGCCTTTGAGTCATGCATGATTCATAGCAACTCTATGAACAAAAGGCCTGAAGCCCCTCTACAACTATCAACATTTATCAAAGTTCACAGAGAATCTGGAGGCAAGCTATTTAGGAAGTGGATGCCACTCCTGCTTCCAAACATTTAATAATTTTTAGCCCAAATTTATTAGGTGAACTCTAACTCAAAATCCCCTCATACTAGTTTTATATTATTTGTACTTCTTTTAAAAAGGAATGATAATTTCTAAAAAGTACCTCTAGTATATGGATTTTCATTATCTTATTTACTAAGAGTGTAGGTATATTATCTTTGCGTAATAACAAAACCCATAATCACATACATCCATAATCATAACAATGCTTTGAGAGTTAGTACTTTGGTATATATTGCTGTGTTAAGTAACTTATTTTATAAGGAAGAGACACTGGGCACATTAAGGAGAAGAGTTTATTATGAAACTCAGGGAATAAGGAAATCAGGGGGTTTGATTGCACCATCATGCCTGGAAGGGACAGGGACATTTTGAGGATCGACAGCTCAGTATCTGTGTGACTCTGGGAGTACAAGACTCTCCATTCATTTCGGTAGGCATTAGTGAATCCCAGGTACAGTGTTCTGCCATTATTCTGGATCAAGGATCTTTCTCTTTCTGCCTTCCCTATCTTGTAATCTGTTTTCTCCCTATGTCATGCTGAAATTCTTCAAGAGTGAGGCTTCAGCCGACCACCAAGGCAGCCAGCTGTGTCAGCCTTTTTTGTCCTGCACCGCTCCGTAATGCCACTGACCAGACTTAGTTTGTTCATGAAGAGCTCTCCTTGATCTCACATTGTACTGTCAAGGTAACAGGACCCCCAGAGCTCACCAGCAATAGATGGAAAGGAAAAGCCTTAGCAGGAGTCTAGGACTGTAATCCTACTAGGATTTGTGAGGACAGACTCAGACTATGATAATGATTCAGAGCTCCTTTATTTTACTAAGGCTAGTAATTATAATTTCTTATTAAATGAGATCACCCCATTTTTTCCATAGAATTGATTAAATTTGAGCCATACAATGTTACCAAAATAATAATTAAGTACCAACCATCCACAATTAAAATAATGGGGGGGAGGAAGTGGATCATTTACCAAGCAATGATTTTGTTAACAAACTTCCTATACATGAGAATCTGCTGATTGTTATGTGAAGATAAAGTGTTCTGCCAGACTTGCTCTTTACTTATCTGTCTTTAGTCTCAAAATGCATGAAGGAAAACTGTTTGTATGTAACAAATCAGTCTGACAATTTTTAAAAAGTGTAATTGCTCATCTCTATAAGATTAATGAGCTATTTCTGAGTAACTAAGAAGAGTTATCAGATAATCACTTTGGCTATATAAGACCAACAAGAAAATAATCTAACAGGAAAGTGCGGATAATTCTAGACACTTGGTTATGTACTTCTTGATGAAGTTCTCATTGGAAGGTTCTGTAAGGTAAAAGTGATGTCCTGGAAGCCTGTGTATGTCCATATTTCCACTGGTTATATCTCTCCAGGCTAAAAAAACAAAACAAAACACAAAAGCATACTTAATATCAGATAACTATAACAAAGAATTGTAATCAAAGATTTTCCTCAATATCACTTTTCTAAGAGGTGACATAATGGTAGAATTAAGTCCAAGGTCTCCTGTTCTAGGTGTCCTGTATTTGCCAGTCCTTCGACATCCAAAAAGTACACAATGGAATTACTTGTATTCTTGAATTTTTATGTGAAGTCAGTACCTTTTCATATAATTCTGATAAAACCTCATCCAATTTTCTAGTCATATAATACTTTCTCACAACAAAACTTAATGGCTGTTGAGTTCCAATTCACAGTGACTATTGGGTTCCCGAGACTGCAAATCACATCAGAACAAAACTATTTTTCTCCCATGGAGTCACTGGTGGATTCGGATTGTTAGGGATACTCAGTCTTTGGGCTAGCAGTGAAATCTACTGTGTACTACCCATCAGAATTCCCTTAGTAACTGCTAGGTGATACAATTTGAACTCTTGAGCAAATTGTTTTGTCCCATCAAATCAGAACCAACCCATAGCTGACCTTCCAATGGGTTTTCAGAGGCAGTTTAATTGCACAGGAGGAGATTGCCCATCTTTCTCCCATGGAGCAGTTACAGATTTGAACCATCTGCTTTTGGAGTGGCAGTACAGCTACTTAGCACAGAATAATTCCATTAAATATCCCAAACAATCAAAATAATGATACCTTCCACATCCTGTACTATTTTATCTTCAGATCCAACAAAGCAGGTGATGTCACAAGACAGAACAGCTTCCGATGGGGTGTCAAAACTGTAAATATGAAATAGTTTATTGGCACTTTTAAATAATTGACAGCCCAGAACCATTTTTAACCTAGTAACATCACTGAACCGAACCATGGTGTGTCTTTATTTCTTTCTCTTTTCCATATCTAGTAATGCATACACTTTTCATTAATATCACTTTGACCTCTCAGAACCTGCCTGAGAGTCATTGCCCTTCATTTTTCCCCCAAGATTCATCAATGTCCTGAACGGTACAAATGGCTGCAGACAGCATCTGGACATGCAGTCCAACTCAGAGTAAGATTTGTTACTCTTAGGACTTCATTCCTCAAAATTGACTGCTGATTTGTTTTTGGCTTTTTAATATATTGCTGTGTCAATTCTGATCAGTAAGAACCCCATGTAACATAGTAAAATGAGCCCACTGGTTTTTCTAGACTCTATTCTTTTTTTAAAAAAAATTATTAATTTCAATGAAAATTTAGAGACTTTGGATTTCCATTCATTCATTGTTGCACTTTTCTCCCTCCCAACCCTCTGCCCTAGTACA